TAAGTCTGGCTCTGTATTTGCTATTGCAACGTTGTCTTCCTGCAGAACCTGTCCATCAGCCCGTTTGCTTTCTTTGGCGTCCCACTCACTTACCAGCTGTGTTAAGTAACCATCATCGTGCTTTCGGAAGCTAACGTTACATGAATAACGAGTAAGTTTACCATGGAATCAGTAAACCTCAAGTAGACGACTCCGGACGACTTTGGGTAAACACATTCACGAGTGGAACAAGTTCCATCGGGCTGCCAACAGACCTTTCCTTCAGGGGAGTTTGAGAATGCAGTGTTACCCTACACAGTAGCCATTGTTGCAAGGCATCATGAAGGGCAGATGGGGGGTCGATGCAACATCCGTTATGGCGCCACGAGGGTCAGGTGGGGTCACGGAGGTCATCCCGAACTTGCCAAATCCCGCAAAGGATCCGAGGCTGGGTTTACACAGAGCTCGAATCGGACCTGTATCTTGGTCGGGATCTTGAAACCAGAGCGCGTCTATCTCCAGGGGTATCTTGGCCAAATACTTATCTTCCCGCCCCGAGAGTCTCCGCGTGATGGGCCAAGTGGAAGGCTTGACGGACCCCCCGGGGCGCCCACACAGTAGTCCTTCAAGTTCCCCCTTTCTCTCCCTATCTCTCTCTCTCTCTTACTGTCTCTCAACATCTCTCTCTTAGTCTCATATTCTCTGTTTAATCTCTCTCTCTCTCTCTCCCTCTCTCACCCCATCGAAGGAGCGATAAAGTCAACAGACACACATAGAGCGTTCCGTAACAAGCGAGACTGACGGCCTTAGAGTGACGACACTCGGCACTTGACATCCTTTTTCGTTCCCCATAAGTGTCGCTGGCCACTTGGAGCGTCACTTGACCTGTACTTCCGGCACAAACTTACCTCCCTCCCGTACCGTCGCGCCGCGCACACTTGACCCCATTGCTTGGCGAAAGGTCAGAGGTCAGCCATTGTCGGGCGAGAACCAATCATAGCAAAGGTTTAATTCAAAGGCTGTACAAGGTCTCGCCTTTGGCCATTGTTTCGGGAATGGACGGATTTTTAAGGGAGATATGATGGGGAGGGGGGAAGGGGGGGGCAAAGGGGGAAAGGGTACTCTGCGAAGTCAAAAGAGGGAGGGAAAGGATGCTGGGGAAGGGAAAGGGGAGAGGGGACAGGAAAGTAGAAAAAAAAGGGAGGGGTGGGGGGAAAGGGAGGTAGAAAAGAGAAGGGGGGAGGGAGAAAGAAGAAAGAACTGTGGGAGGGGAAGGGGTGCTCTGTGTGGGCGTGAAGGTAACGATAGATGATGTGTTGGGGTGAACAATCATACTGATGGTTTGGTTGTTAAACGTTATTTATTGATCTTTTGATTGATGGCGACTCGTAAGTTAAAACATATAATCATTTTTTAGAAGGTGGGTTATGATTAACAACAGTAGTAACATGTATAATCTCATGTATAGTAGAATGATAGCAGCAGCAGTAGTAGCATAGCAGCAGAAATATCAGCAGTAGTAGTAGTGGTAGTGGTAGTAGTATCGTAGCAGAAGTAGCAGTATAATTGCAAATATACTAAAATAATACAAGTAGTAGTAATAGTAATAGTAATAGTAGTACTATTAGTAACAGTAGTAATAGTAATACACTAGAAATAGTAAGGCTAGCAGCCGATTACCCTTCGTAGCAACAAAATAAAAATCGTGAACTAAGATGCCCTATTAACCGACAAAACAATTGTGCTACATGCTCCCTTGAAGCGCAGTGGATAGCTTTTATATTCTATATTGGGTGTTATCTGAGAAGAACTGTATATATATACACATATATATGTATATGCATATGTATATATATATGTGTGTGTGTGTGTGTGTGTGTGTGTGTGTGTGTGTGTGTGTGTGTGTGTGTGTGTGTGTGTGTGTGTGTGTGTGTGTGTGTGTGTGTGTGTGTGTGTGTGTGTGTGTGCGTATATATATGTATGCGTATGCATATGTATATGTATGCATATATATATATATATATATATATATATATATATATATATATATATATATATGAGAGAGAGAGAAAGAGAGAGAGAGAGAGAGAGAGAGAGAGAGAGAGAGAGAGAGAGAGAGAGAGAGAGAGAGAGAGAGAGAGAGAGAGAGAGAGAGAGAGAGAGAGAGAGAGAGAGAGAGAGAGAGAGAGAGACTTTTGTGTTATGTGTATATATGCATATGCACGTATATATATGTATATATATGTATATATGTATACATATATGTGCATATATATATAATACATACACACACATATATATATATATATATATATATATATATATATATATATATATATATATATATATATATATATACATATATGAGAGAAGGTGGGGGGGGGGGATTTCGTCCCTGCACTGGTTCGTGAAACTCCCCAAGGACACAAAAGAAAGTGTGGCTCGCTTTTCCCAACACTGGCACTGTGACTTACACTTTTTCTCTCCCTCCCATAGCCACTATGTGTGTTCTTGATCACGCAACCACATTCACTTCCGCACGGCATACAAGCAATAGAGGGAATGGAAAATGAAAGAGAGAGAGAGAGAGAGAGAGAGAGAGAGAGAGAGAGAGAGAGAGAGAGAGAGAGAGAGAGAGAGAGAGAGAGAGAGAGAGAGAGGAGAGAGAGAGAGAGAGAGAGAGAGAGAGAGAGAGAGAGAGAGAGAGAGAGAGAGAGAGAGAGAGAGAGAGGAGAGAGAGAGAGAGAGAGAGAGAGAGAGAGAGAGAGAGAGAGAGAGAGAGAGAGAGAGAGAGAGAGAGAGAGAGAGAGAGAGAGAGAGAGAGAGAGAGAGAGAGAGAGAGAGAGAGAGAGAGAGAGAGAGAGAGCGAAAGAGCGAAAAAAAGAAAGAAAGAAATACAAGCAAACAGAGATAGAGACAGACAGAGAGGAGCAAAGAGAAAAAAATATATACTTAAAAAAAGAGAGGCAAAAAAAAGAAAATGAACTGTGGATAATGCCAAACGAATTATATGAAGTCACTGCTATAATCAATGTATCGCCTCCCTCTTGTAAAAAAAGGGAACTTTCTACGACCGCCTACAACGATCCGCGGGCCCTGAGTCAGCGATCAGCCTTGGAGCCCTCTTAACAAAGACAATACTTAAAGACGTCTTGTGAATTCCTTTAAAATGACTGGACCAAAGGACACTCATTCGGCCTATCCCGCTGTTAACCTCGTATTGCCCGCCCTCTGATTGGTGGACACGAACCGATACTGTCAGCTGATTGGCTGGCAGGTACTGTGTCCGCGGATCTGATTGGGGAGGATGCCAAGTGGTTATTTATTGATTTTTTTTTTTTAAGTAATGTTAATTGAATTTAATTATACCAAGTAAAGATGAAGTTAGAAAGAAAAAGAGAAAGAAAGATAAATGTAGGCTCAGTACGACACCATCATTGAAGTCACTGTCGCAATACACTCAACTACAACCCCCCCCCCCCTCTCTCTCTCTCTCTCTCTCTCTCTCTCTCTCTCTCTCTCTCTCTCTCTCTCACCCACACATACGTATGCATGTATACGATATAAGCAAGTGTGTATACATATACATATACATGTAATCCTAAAAGAATACAATTGTTTACCCAAATCGCTTCAAGCATACTGAGGAGCAATTTAGTTCCTTTAAACTCAGTCCGCCAAGATGTTAATTGCGCATACAATCCCCCGACTCTCTTCCACTGGTGTAACGCATCTCCCTTGTAGCATCGCGCAGAAGAAACGAGAATAAGTCTGCGACGCATTTCGTAACAATTCTTTCGATGCAGTTTGCTTTGGGGAACCGGCAGAGCTTGCAATATTCACGACCTAATTATTAGACCTTGCAACCTAGTCCTGCCTCAGTGGATTGGGACAGAGTGTCAACAGCTGAATGGCCACGGCTCTGAGATGCTGCTCTCCCTGTTGCAGCTACTGCTGCAGCTGTTATTCTTGCCGCTACCTTTTCTTCCAGTTGTCCCTGCCCCAGCTCCAGCTACTGCTCCTGCTCCTTCTCGCGCCCCTACTTCTGCTGCTGCTCCTGCTCCTACTACTGCTCCTCCTCGCACTCCAGTTGCCTGGACCAGAAGCAAAACAGCGGCCGCATGTTTACACTTGCCGGCCACTGACCACTTGCCACGGGGACATTGTTGACTGCGCCTGCAAACACCCTTAATGTGTGCTTGGCCGGCCCGCAGCGATAAGGGCGCCCGCTAGACGACACATCAGTCACTCTTCTTGCTCGCGATGCAGACCAACAACAGCCCGACCTCTCTCGCCTCGCCCAGTCGGCTCTAAGTGGGCGTGCGGGGAATTTTACCCTGATGCAAGGGCGGGAATAATAGCTCTGACGAAGGCGCTCCAGGTGGCTGGGGTTTCGTGAAGTTCTGTTGGGGTTGGTGGTCATGCAGGCACAGTGTCACTGCTAAGGGGAGTGTGGCACTGATAGGACTGATATCATGATTTAAGGGTCTGTTATTTACTCACGTTGTACACGGGATAAGTAACACTTGCCACATAAGCATAACCGCATTTGAACGATAGTTTTTTTCTCTCTCTCTTTGTATATGAATATCATTAATTAATAAAAATGGATAAGTAAATATATGAGTAAATGTCTAATCATATACATATGCATGCATGCATACATACACACACACACACACACATATTTGTGTGCGTGTGAGTGTGAGTGTGAGTGAGTGAGTGAGTGAGTGAGTGAGTGAGTGAGTGAGTGAGTGAGTGAGTGAGTGAGTGAGTGAGTGTGTGTGTGTGAGTGAATGAGTGAGTGTGTGTGTGTGTGTGTGTGTGTGTGTGTGTGTGTGTGTGTGTGTGTGTGTGTGTGTGTGTGTGTGTGTGTGTGTGTGTGTGTGTGTGTGTGTGTGTGTGCATGCGCATGCGTGTGTGCGTGCGCAGGGTATGTGTCCCTAGCAATGCCCACCAACGAGAGCGCATGCACGTTCTGCGCCAAAGGAATAACGCCTCCTGGAGAGCCAGGCACTTACCGTGGGGATATCAATGCTCAGGTGAGAAGAAGGTTTCGAAGCCAGTACAGATATCCAGGAACAGAAGTCATTCACGGTTCACACACACCCAGTGGTGTTGTAGTATATTGGGGTCACTATCAGCACAGCACTGTATATCACACAGGATAAGTAGTACACACACAGTAGCAAATGTAGCACAGTATTGTACACACAATGGCAGGGTAGCACGCTAATGTACACAGAGACGAAGGATGACTCTGCGGTCAGGCTCCGAGGATCACTTGGGTATGGCACTAGGACTCGGTCAGGACACGGTGTAACACTGTATAATAGCGAGCCGAACACTGCATGGCGGGCACAGGCACAACATCCACACGAGGTAGGTATCCCGGGCGTTAGCACAGTGGGTCGTGTGTGTGTGAGAGCGAGGGAGGGACTGTGGAGTTTAGCAGGCAGCTCCTGACAGTCCAAGAGAGACAACTGGCGGCACGTGTGCTGGTGGTGTACAAGTGTGGCGTCACATAACACGTCACGGGCGCGTCACAAGATACAGGTGCGAGAAGCTTCACGGCGGAGCACGAGCGGCTTGGGCTCTCTCGCAGCTACGCACAACAAATGAGTACTTTCACAGTGGAGCGCCGTTGCCTCACCACACGGCGAAGGTTACGCCTGATCCGACCGTCACAGGTCCGCACGCACGTACGAACACACCTTAGTAAAGGACGGCCGCAACAAGCGAAAGTGATGGTGAGTGTGTTTGTCTGTGCGCCTCGATCCAGCGTGGCCCGCGCGCACCGCAATTCCCAGCCCGTGTGGAGCGTTTCACTGCGCTTCGTCCAGCCGCGCGGGGCCGCAGGACGTCCGGCTGAGCGAAGATCAGCGGCGTGTGGCAGCGAGAGTGGCGCCTCGTTCCGACACCCAGTAACCTTGTCCCCAATTCGTGGATGTGGCCCTAGTGAACAACCCGCATCACTTTTTTGCCTTCTCTAAGTCGATATATCATCATTTTTCGCATTTTCTTTTGCTAGGTAACACCCATTTGCTTGCCCCTAGGTCTAGTTCAGCCCCCATACGCGCAGACCCAAGCTAAGGCTCGGGAAAAGCCGAAGTGCTGTCAGCTCGGGCCAGTGGGCCAAAGAAGTGGGTGAAGTTTAGTAGGTTAAGGGCGGATGGCGACAAGCCCTTGACCATATCAGGGAATTGTGCAACCCTGAGTCGTGCAGGAACCAGGAGATGCAGTCTTATGCATGGACGGTGTAGGAGACTCGCCATAGCACCTGCTACAAGGCACGAACACCCCCTCCTTCACCATACATGTCCCCTACAGTAGTCCTAGGCCTGCCTCGCGTCTAGGTCCGCTCGCGGGGCTCAGGGTATGGTGGGGAGGGCTCCAGTGGAGGAGGGAAAAGGGGGGTTGGGGAAGGAGGGATTCATCACAAAGCTGGGAGAAGGATAAGGATGGGGAACAGGCTGAGTCCATAGGTTTACTCACAAACATCGTAGGGCTCAGCAAACTCCCATCCGCAACTAATCAGTGCAATGATGATTTCTATACGTCTTGCTTCCCCCACCTTCGATGGCATGAGTCATTCGCATTCCTCATTACCTTTTCCATCACTCGTGACTCATCCCTCGATGTGCCCCTCGGCCTTGTAACTTATACCTTACCCATGCCACGGGAGCTACACCTTTATACGTGCGACTTGCAACTCATGCATTTTACTCACCAACTCATACTTTCACCAACTACCTCATAATATTAAGTTCTCATAGCCTCTCAGTCAGTCTCATGCGACACCAACTCGATGAGTCATGTCCTTACTCTTCTCTCATAACCTCTCTCATTATCTCTCACCTCATTAAGCAAGAACAAAAATGAAGCAAAATTACACTGGACAAACAACACACAGGCGCGCAGAAAGACCGGGAAAGAGGGACAGGAAGAAAGATAGAGAAGTATACATAAAGAGAGTCAAAGAGTCAAAGAGACAAACACAAACGAAAACGAAAACAAAACAAAAACATTATTCCATCAAACAATATAGACAATATTTCAAAACATACCCCCCCCCAGAATAGCATCGATAACAAGTATCTTGCAAAAACGCGTCAAAACAAATCAAGAAAGAATTTTGTTTGTGAAGTGGATGGGGCAAAGATATTAAACAAGAAGGCAAGTTCAATGCAGTTAGGAGTGAGGGCAGGAGAAGAAGGAAAAGGGAGGAAATAAATGGCGAACACAGAAAGGAGGAGGAGAAGAGGTAAATACAGCGGTGGGAGTGGGGATGGAGGGAGAGTGAAACTGAATAAGAAATAGAAATGAAAAGAAAAAGAAAGGTAGAAACGAGGAAAATCAGCAAAAGAGGAAGAGAAATTTCAAGGTATTGTGGAGAGAGAGCGAGAGAGAGAGAGAGAGAGAGAGAGAGAGAGAGAGAGAGAGAGAGAGAGAGAGAGAGAGAGAGAGAGAGAGAGAGAGAGAGAGAGAGAGAGAGGGAGGGAAGACAGATAGAGAGAGAGAGAGAGAATGAAAAGAAAAGAGACAATAACAGGGGCAGGGTAAGGGGGGGGGGGGGTAGCGAGATCAGGATAGGAAAATACCAACAACAGGGAACGAAAGTGTAAACAATGAGGATTCACAATACATTTAAACCACACAAACAACATCGTCTTTTCTTTTCCTGAATCTTGACAACAATGCTTCCATCCAGGGAAAAAAAAATCTCACTGTGACAATTTAAACCACAAAAAGATAAACTGGTGTCTACAAACAGCAAACAAGCAAAGAGGGGCATGACTCACCCTTACCTTGACGTCACAGCGTTCTCAAGGAAAACGCTGGCAAAAAAGAGACAATGTTGTCCCTTTAATCCTAAATATAAACGGTCTTCAGAGCGCCACAGAGCCGAGGATATTGTCCCTTATTCTGGTTAATCTACAGTGGGTCACCAAGGCTATATAGAACATCTAGATAAACTGTAAAAAGTATATATATATATATATATATATATATATATATATATATATATATATATATATATATATATATATATAGAGAGAGAGAGAGAGAGAGAGAGAGAGAGAGAGAGAGAGAGAGGAGAGAGAGAGAGAGAGAGAGAGAGAGAGAGAT